ATCTTTCTTCTGTAAGATGCTCTCCCATCCTCTCTGTGGTTTGACACTGTACCATCTCTGTACAGCTCCCCTTTCTCATGGCACCCGCCACACCCAGCCATCCCTCAGTCATCCCAGCCAACCCTGCAACCCTGCAGAGGCCCATCTGGGCGCTAGGAGGAACTTTCCGTGGCTCGCTGTCTGCTTCTTAAATCTGTCTTGGGCCAGCCACGGGGTGGGGGCTCGCAGGGCAGATGAAGGCTGGAATAAGGGCTCTGATCTGAACACTGAGAGGTCAGTGGCCAACACACCCCCAGGCCGTTCCTCTCTGGCCAGGAATAGGACGTTTCTCGGGTCAGGCCCCTGACTCTGGGGTGCTGGGAGGCTGTTTGAGTCTATGCACACCATTCCTCCGCCACCGCCAAAATGCATCATCGCCCGTATCAAAGTGAACTTAGCGGGGAGGGCATAGCTCGAGTGATAGTGTGCATGCTTAGCCAACACAAGGTCCTGGGTTCATTCCCCAGGATCCCCTCTAAAAGAATAAGTAAACCTAATTGTCTCCCCCCACCCAAAAAAGCGAACTTGAACATGTTGATGGTTTAGGAGGGATTTCATGGCCCTTCTGGAGTGAGCTACAAAGGCACAGTTGGGAACCTGCCCCAGATTGTCCTGGCAATGGGGACACAACTTCAATGCACAGAACTGATGGCCTGAAGGTCTGGGCGCACCTTGCCCACCCACCTTCCATCTCACAAGAGAGGAAGCGAGAGAGCCTTCCACCATCAGAGCCACCCCTGCGGCAGCTGCCCGGGAAGCAGCTCTTCACACGGGACCCTGCTCCTTCTCTCAGGGGTTGGGCGGCTGAAACTGAAAGCAACCCCTCCTCTGCTCTCTCGGAAGACAGGAGCTAATGGCCATCGGTTGTTGGGTGACCCTTGCGTTCTACAATCTCAACTCATTAAGTCACCCATGAAGGACAAAACGTGCCCCACCTGCAGGAAGGGTTCCTAAAGGGGCCAGGCTAACTCAGCAAGTGTCGGGTCAGAACGGCCCCTTCAAGACCCACATGGTCTCCTCTTCTCACTCTGTGTCGCTAATCCTCATTTCTGGAAGCAAGAGGAAGAAAACGTACTCACCGGCTCCCGGACGAAGGCCGAGCCAGCTGCGAGGTGGAGACCCGTACTTTGTCAGGACTGAGCTCATGCTTGACCTCTGGGGTGGTGGCGCTGTGCCTGGCCCTGGAGCCACGTGCTAGCCCCCGTCCCCGTCCCTCTCTGCCCAGCTGCAGTCCCAGCACTGGAGGGCTTCTCCCAGACCCAGCCTCTGTCGTAATTTCTCCAGCTGAATCGTCTGCACAGAAAACCACCAAGCTCTCAGCCCTGCCAATTCGCTTCTCCTCCGGCACAGGCCCCCCGAGCGCTGTGTATTTTAACGTATGGACTCCGTGGCCGTGGTTCGCACTGTTTCCTTGCCGGTGGTTTTCTCCCCTTGGATTTTCCATTCCCAAGTACCCATATGCTCCCTGGAACGCACTTCGCACACTGCTGGCTGCCTTGGCGGGTGCCTGCCCCTCTCCTTTCCCGGAAAGTAGTGCCACGAAGCCCCTCGTCTCTGCAACCCCAGCAGCCAGCATCAGCTCTGGCTGGACTCTGGTGAGGAGGAAGGCCTGCAAGTTGGGTGGCTTCTCCCTGCCCAGCAGACCTTCGCAGCCCAGAGACCTACCAGGTTCCAAAGTATTAGAAAAACCCAGGCCACAGTCTGTTGAACGCCACGGCGGCATCAGGGCCGGTCGCCATGGCAACCCTTGGCTTCCCAGCCCAACACATTGTCTGCCGGCTGGGCTGTTTGCTGATTCCCGAGACTGCTTACTCAGCTCCCGGGATCTCCAGATTGGACCTGCTGCCCCACGACTCCAAGTGCAGCTCCTTTCAGACTGCTCCCCGACCCCGTGGCCCACCCTCTGCCCCATTCTTTTCCTGGCAAAGCCTTGGAAATCTTTAACTTAGCAAAGCCTGTCTGGAGGCCCTCCATCACGTGTCTTCTTCCCCCTCCTGCACAGATGGCCCCCATATTTATTTTAGCCACTGTTCAGGCCTGGTTTGTCAGCCAAGTCTCATTCCCTCTGCCAGGCCCTCCCCGGGAGCGAGGGCTGCGGGACTGAGTGCCCGCTCGTGGAGAGGCAGTTACAGGCACAGGCCCCTGGCCTGCTGGCTTGCTTGCTTCCTATCTGAACTCTTCTGAGACCAAAATTCTTTTTCCTTCTAACACACTATTAAAGATAGCCCAGAAAGGATTTAACTTACATACTTGGGCTCAGACAGGAAAGTTAAAATAAATGCCCACTGGAGTTTATTCCACTCGATATTGACGCAGAAAAGAGGTGCAGGTGCTTGCTGGGGTTTCTGACTTCCCCACTACGACGCCCAGATTTCACTGCCCTCTTCCAATGTTTTTGCCGTAATTTCTTCCAAGCATTTAAATAATTTCCTGGAAGAAAACGTGCTATCCATATATGTAACAAAATTACACGATTAAATTCACATTCTCAAAAATATTTAATGATATAGAAGGTCACGTGTTAAGTGAAAAGAGCTGGACAGAAAACCACATGTACAGTGGGACAACTTTGTAAAATACACACGTGGGTTTTAGAAAAAAGCCAGACGAGAAAGCATCATACATTAACAGTGATTAAGTGGTCGTGGACTTGAGGACCATCTCCTACACGGGTAAAGTGGTCACATAATTTTAAAAGCAGTAAGTGGGGTTTATGGGAAACTCCCAGGAGTGAGTAATCAGCAGAAGCCATGGAACCTACCTCTCTGGGCCTTCTGAACAGGACCTGCAGCAGGAAGACTGGTGTTAGGGTAAACCTGCCCGGAGGCCACCGGGTAAGAGGGCTTCAGATGCAAACGTTTAGTTTCTGCATCCTCCCAACGTGACCGTGAGAAATGCAATCTTGGTCCCTGTCTTCTAGGAGTTTACAGTCTAACCAGAGACAGGCCTCGCACTAAGAGTTACTGCTACACCTGCTACAGACGTGCCTCACGTCCTCCTCACACAGGGACCTCATGGGAAGCGGTCATCCCATCTTAAGGAAAGAGGTTCAAGTTAAACACCCTCTTCAAAGCTGCACTGCTAGCCGAGGCCCAGTCCGGATTTGAACTCGGGAGCTCTAACATCAAAGCCTGCTGCCTTCGTCAGTACATATCCAGATCTAAGGAAAAAACAATCAGACAATTTAAAAACACTGTCCCACATCGCTTGGTCCCAGAGATCTGTTGGTCTGTGTGTACTTGTCTGTCACAGGGATCCTGGTGGGGCAGGGGCTCCCTCGGCCAGCTGGGGCCCTCACCACCCCCACCATCCTCTCCGGCTGGCCACTTCCACATTTTGATTTCTCAAAAATCATCATCTGAGGCCCCTGAAGGGCCAGCTCAACTACCCCCCTCCCCTTTCTCAAGTCTTCCGTTTTTATGCTGGGGTCTCAGAGGATACGCTGCTTCCTGCCCACAAGGCCTAATGCGGTCAGATGGGGACAGTGGAATTACCTTTGTTCACAAAATAAAAGAAACCCTAGAAGTTGAGAATCTTTTCATTTTCTTATCCACCTGTCCTATAAATGGATCTGAAGAACTGATTTTAAAGAAACACTAAAAGCAGTGATTAAGGGTTTTCATGTTCTAAGTCATATATTCCTTTAATTTTCTTAAAATAAGCATCGAAAATCACGCATAGACACGATTAAGAGTTTTTGTTAAGAGTGTCTCTCGTGCTACCCATTCTGAACCATCACAGACCAGGGGAAATGGCAGAAGCCCAAACCACCGACAGTGATAATCAGATGGCAAACACCCAAGGTGGGTGCACTGCTGCCAGTCTGACCAGCACACCCTGGGGTCTGACCATAGCGTCTCTGAACCCTGTGAAAGGCCTGTCCCGGCTCCCCGGCCAACTCCAGCACCCTGTGGCCGTCTGACCAACGGCTGACAGCTCCCTCTGGTGGCAATGTATGTCTTCTGTGCCGATGAGGACTGACCACAGGGCAATTTTCAAGGCCAGGAGGAAATGGGTTAAAGGGGAGCCTGTATTTAATGAAAATGCAAAGGACCAGACACCACTTTCCATTCCTCCTACTGCTACAGACCTCTAATGAGCATTACTGTAAAGATACAAGAACCGGGGAAGGAGGCAAAAAGTTGACAGTGATCGTCTGCTGAAATTCTTCCAACGCCAAGACAGAAAAACACGTACAAGTTCAGTTTAGATGTAGGTAAGAGGCAACCGAGAAGTCTGACTTTAAATGGTCTCTAGGGTATCAAAACTAACCCTGGGGGGGGACAAGGGCTCCGTAAGTCTGTGGGTTTACGAGATGAGACGCTAATGATTGCTTAAGACAACGAGAACCAACAGTTCAAATGAATGTAAATGTTAAGACCCCCACATCCTAACGGTGGTCCTTCAACACGTGCTGCTGGGAAGCTGGAATTCACAATGCCAGTTTGAAATGCCGCCTCACTAAGTATCTCACCATCCTACATGCAGGAATGATGTGACCTGACCTGACTGCCCTGACTGGTCACCAAAACCACTCCCAACCTTGGTGGTTAAAGGATCCTGGCCACCAGGGAGAAGACAAGAAGAGACTTGCACTGTTTTCCCCCAAAGCCCTCCGGGAGAACAGTATCCTCGCAGGCCTGCGGTTCCCTTCGGGGAAAACCCCACACGGCACACACTTCAGGTGCAGTCGCCAAAGCCAAGAGCGTGAGCCGCTGGGCCAGTCTTGCTTCCAAACAGCCGCGTGTCCAGCTCTGCCCATGGTGTGTCTTCAATCTCAGATGAGAAGTCAATAAGGGCAAATCTAGTTTTTAAAAGGCCCCAGGATAGGCTTCCTGGATTTGAGAGCAATTTTTTCCACATAAAACCATCAGATTAAAAAAAAGAAGGGCTCTTGAGTCAAACTTTTATCTATGAAACCTTGATTAAGTTGATCAGACCAAAGATAAGCTTAACACTCGACCCATGTGCCTGCTGGAAGGAGACCTCAGGCAGCATCGAACGAGCAGGGATGGAAAGGCCCTGCAGGTGGGCCCCTCCGTGGGGGCTTGGACCACAGTGTGCCTCCGAATCTTACCGTGCTCTCCATCCCGCTGGTCAGCCTGCCTTCCAAAGTCCTTGGTACATTTCTGTTGTCCCAGTTTCTCTATTTTTACCCAAATTCCAACAACCAGGTCCTTGTAAAACTATCAGAGGAATCTACCAGGTTCTTTCTGTTTTAACGCACATTTTCTGTTTTCCCTGCTGCTCTATCCCTTTAGAAGATAAAATAGAAGACCAGGGCGAACCTCTGGGTCATGTAGCTTGAAGAGGCCGAAACGTGTTCTAAACATATCCACGAGCTGCAGAACACACTGCTGGCTACGTGAGCGTGCTGTCCGGGGCCACAGAACCCATCCGTCCATGGGTGCCAGGCTGGAGACAGAGTCAAGCTTCCTGGTAGGAAAGTTCCTTCCCTTATTAAGGGCATCAGGATCAGTTTGTTTTTCGATAGAATTTAGGTTTGGGGTGTACTTTCTCTTCTTGTGTTTCCTCAATTTCTCTTGCTCCAATTTTCTCTGATGCTCCAGGAAGTTTAAAGTTATAATCTGTCGTGATGTAAGGTATCGTCCCTTCAAGCCCACGCTGAAATGGGAGCACAGAGAAAACACGCGCAAGCCCTTCAGATCCAGCCAAGAAGAGTTCGTAGTACTTGACTTCTTCCCCCGGAAGACAATGTTAAGAGTGAGCGTCTGAGTAAGGTCCTCTCACTCAAGACACTGGGCTACCCTCCCCCCAAAGGGCCCACTTAAAACTCAACCTCACACTGACCCAACACTGTAAAATGACTATAACTCAATAAAAAAATAGTTAAAAAAAAAAAAAAGAACTCAACCTCACAAACACATCAGATAGCATCAGAATGGACAGGAGGAGGGTGCTCTCTCCAACCAACAGAACCAGTGGGGGAGGGCACTGGCTGCAGTTTGGGGCTATAGATGCCCTTGACTGATGTGACCCTCTGTGAACTTCCCACGGGTGCCCCTGAAGACTGTCTTCAGGAAGGGGCCATCCTGGAGCTGCCACCTCGGCTCTTCTCCCACAAACTCCTTCTGCGATACTGGCTCAACCAGGGGCTCCCGACCATGAGTGATGGTGATTCACAGCCCTGGACCTGTGGGGCACGCTGACACCCTACTTTGCCTCGTTAGCGCCTACAATAGGGCGTGTTTCCCAGACACTGACCTGCTCCTGTGACCCTCACCCCCACTCCAGGTCCACACTCTCTACCGTGGACACGGCCAGCTAACACCAGGGCTGGCCCTGGGGGTCGTACTCACCTGGCTCTTGAAGACACACTGTGGGACAGAGATGGCTCCGACCAGAAGACAATTCACGTTCCGGAGCTCCTCCGGGGGCACAGGAGTGAGAATGTGGTAAAGCCTCCTCTCCATGTCAATCCCTCTACAAATTCCTTGACACACAAAACACACAAAAATCATCCTTTCTGGAAGATATCAAACCTCCCCACCACTCAGAATTGTAGAATGGCTTTTAAAGTAAGAGTTTCAACTTCAACTGTGTCTTGCTTTGAAAATACAAAGTGCCAAGAGACAGTGTATTTGAGTATCTGAAGACCTGGCCCCTGCCCCTTGTCCAGCTGTGAGGAAACAAAGCCCTAGACTGTCTCAGCCAGGGCGCCCTTGGGCCAGGGAGGAGCCCGTCCACCAGTGAGGAGCGCAAAGACGACTTGATCCTTCCCCATCGCAGTCCCTTCTGCATGGTCTGTACTAAATGAAACGACTTCTGTGGAAATGCTTTCGAGAAGTTCAGTGTTGTATAAATCAGAAACACGAGTTTAATTATTTAAGGGTTTTGCTGATCTTGGGTTATGTAGGTCAGGCTCTCTTCCAGAAACAGACGCTGATGTCTGCTGATCTCAGTGAGCCAGGGGGATGCTCACGTGAGGTGGTCTGGAGAGGAGGCGGGGGCCAAACCTGCCGGGCACTGTGAGGCCCAGTCCGGACGCTGGATCTGTGTGGAGGGAGGCCTAGGGTGTGAAGCGATCACAAGTGTGCTCGGATCACTCCTGATGGGGGGTGGAGGGGGTGGGGGGTCCCAGGGCAGAAATGAGACAGGCGTGGTGAAAAGAGATGAGAGGAGGAGTCTGACATTCCGAAAACAGAAGCTACCAGGTCGGCCAGTGGCTGGATGTGGTGAATGAAAGCAAGGGGGTGCCAGGGAGAATGCTGGGGTAATAGCAGAGTAAATCTCAAAGGACCGTTTGAGGCCGGGAAGAGAGGATGGTGCTGGGTAGGAGGGGCAGGTTTGGGGAGAAAATCAGGAAGTGGGTAGAGGGACCGTTCAGACCTCAGTTTTGGACCCAAGTCTTAGATGCCAGTGAAATATTCCAGCGGAGAAGCACACTGGTAACATAGGCTTGGAGCTCTGATGCACATGATGCTGCAGAGATCCTACGGAAGTCAGCCTAAAGCTGGGTCTAGAGCCCAGCAGGTGGTGAGGTGGCCTAGAAAGCATGCCAACTGAGGCGGCGGCCGTGAGCAGGTCCTTGGGAATCCTGCATTAAGAGGAGCTGACGGGAGAAGCAGAGAAAGACCTCCTTCCTGCCCTCCAGCCCCCAAGGCCCACTGTGTAGAAGACAGAGAAGCCTTCTGACCACTCCAGCCAAGCGACAGCTACAAGGTCAAGCCTAGCCATCTACAGCTGAAAAAGTGGTTCAATTTCAGGAGGTTTACGGGCGTGTTTTACTCTCAGACTCACCAAACCCCAAACAATCACAGATTGGAGTCTGGGCAAGAAGGATGGGCCCATTTGCATATCCTCTGACGTCATCCAGGATCTTGCAAAGGCCAACCCAGCTGGCATTCAGGGCGTACAATATATGGGTGGGAGCCACATCTGCATGGATAATCCGGAGCGCAACGGCGTTGAAAGGGACCTGGAAAATAAATTTGCATCTCTCTCTGTTAATTCTTCTTGAAAGACTATGTGTAATTTTCACAAGTTGACAAGCCAGCTATCTAATGTTCTGTCTGTCAAACTGCCTACCAAAAAGTATCTAAACAGAACGGAGACACTAACCTGTATTTGTTTAGTGTTTCATTGCTTTAATGCAGAGAACCCAGGAAATTTACACAAACTTCCCATACACCAGTGACACTTGCTAGAAATCTAAACTGAATGCCTGGAACTTTGTCTAAAGAGACACTAAGATGCAAGTTTAGGGACATCCTAAATGGGCTGGAGGTGAGGGAAACTGAGAACCCCAGTCACTGGAGGCCTTCTAACGTAAGAAAGTAAAAATTTATTCACTCCCTAATTTAACTACTGCATTAAGAAAAATGGATTGCATTCCTGGAGCACAAGGTAAATAACTAGCTTTAATGTGTAACTTTCTTTTTTTGGAATTGGGTAATTCTAAACTTTTAAAGCAGAAAAGAGTTTTTTACACATATTTAGATTTCAAAATCAAATTTGAATTTGTAACAAAAGGCAGTTTAAATCACTGGCAGGTAAGTTTCAAGTTCAGTTACACAGCATCGCCAAGTGAGTAAACTGGGGTAAATCAACCAAAACTCCATTCAACAAACTGCCTTAGATTCTTCAGTTGGCAACAACTCGGAAGCCTGGACCCAGTCTGACCAGCAGGCTTGGGACACATCCTCACCATCCAGGCCACTGCTCCTGACTATGCCCAGTTTTCCAAGCTGTAAGCAGGGCCTGTAATAGCAGCCCCCTCGCAGGCACCTTTAAGTCCCTGAGCCACCCCAGGTAACATGTGAGCAGAGCACCTGGCACCCAGCGAGTGCTCAGCTCTGGACAGGACATACAGTGGAGCTGAAGACTCTGGGCTCTTGAGTCAGGCTGCCTGGGCTCCAGGCCCAGCGTAAACTCCTACTATGCCCTTTTGGGCAAGCACTCAGTGCCTCTGGCCTCAGCTCTACCATCTGTAAAATGGGGACAATAACAGGACCACTGTGAGTAAAGGAGTTAACACAGGCTTTGAAGAGAGCACAGCACAGAGTAAGCATTTAAGAAATGCTACCTGTTGCTACTTTATTCTTTCAGCATCTCAAATCCTAATATTATAGTGCTTTCCTTACAAAATAATTCTTGGTGAGGAGGGTATAGCTCAAGTGACAGAGCAAATGCTTAGCATGCATGAGGTCCTGGGTTCAATTCCCAGCATCTCCTCCAAAAATAAATAAATAAACCTAATTACCTGCCCCCTCAAACACACACACACAAAATTCTTAAGAACTTGGAATCCAAGACTTCAGTGCTAGAAGCTGCCTTGGACAGCAGCGCGAAAGGCCGTACGGGTGCTCCTCGGGCGCCGGGCGCCACTGCGGACGTTCGCTGAGTCTGCACAGCCAGTCCCCGGGGCCTGGGCCTCCTGCTCCGCGGAGGAGGGGCTGATGCGCACACAGATAGTAGGCCCCGTGCTGGAGCTGGGCTGCCTGGGCTTAAGCCTGGGGCCACCTCTGCTATTAGGTAGAATGTTCTTAGCCAGGATGGAACCAGAGCCATGCCCTGCACAGCAGTAAAGAGCACGAGCCTGGAGCTGGACTGCCTGGGTCCGAGGCCAGCTCTGCCACTCAGCGCAGGATTACTCAGCCTCCTGTTTGTAAAACGAGGACAGTTACCAGACCTACACCATCGGGTTGCTCTGAGGATGAAATGGTTAGAAGTGCACTCGGCACACAGGAAGCCACAGAAGTGCTTGTTAAGTAAACAAAATAAAGACAACACATCCCAAAGTTCAGGTTACCTGATAGGGTGTCAGACCATGTAAGGGACAAAGTGGTTTTGGCACCGGAGGCTGCAGCTGGCCAAGGTAGCTGAGCACCGCCAAATCACGAAGGACTCTGTTATGTGATTCTCTGAAAAGTAAATCAGAACAAGGGAGATAGAGGTTTAACGTCAGCGGTCCACCTCCTGCTCAGGGACAGTGTATCTGTCAGCACATTATGGTCACACAACCTGCATTCCAGCCGCAGCAGCTGCAGCCCTGCCTTCCCATAAACCCACTGGCAATCCTTTAAGTCAAAGCTCCTGGCAACCAGACCTACAGGCCAATTCTGGATACTTCCACTGGGAAAGTAACCATTCAGAAAATAATTGACTTTCCTTCATAAACAGACAGCTGTGACAGAGATCTGAAAAACTTTAGAGGACTTATTCCTGTGGAGGAATTGAGGACAAAAGACCTTATTAAACTGAAGGAGACTTAATTCTCCAGCTGTGCCAGTTTACTGACCTATTTCTTGGAGTTTTTCTAGACACAAACTCTGACTTCACGGACATCAGTTTGTATCCAGTAAACACGACTGGACTGTCCTTTTCTTCATCAGCAAATTCAAAATTGTCAGCAAATTCTGGCAGGTAGAAACCTCTGTTTCTGACTTTGGACTTGCTTCTCGTGTACAGGCCGTCCATGTCGTCCACGTAGTCGGGGGTGAGGTCCGGCATGTACTTACTGCGGCCAGAGCTGAACTGAATGACATGGCTGGGCGAAAGCAGCCGGATCAGGTCAATGAGGAGCAGGAGCCCTTGGTCTGTGAGGAGGGAGGTGATGGGGGCAGTGAGCACACCAAGCAATGGCATGCTCCCACCAGGAGCTGGGACAAGCAAGAGACCAACAAGGAGACTGTCCTAAAAACTGGCTCCAACACTAATGCCCGAAAGTCCGGCCCTCCTACCAAGGTGCCTCCACAGACTCACCTGCCACCCAGCCCATCGTGTTGACAATCAGAGGGGACTCTCTCCTGTAGGAGCTGAACACGTACTTGATAATCTCAATATAATTCTCAAAGTTGTGTTTACAGGAAGGCTTTCCATAATATACCATTTTCTGTGGGGTCCTCTGGTGAGTGAAAGGCGGTCCTAAGAAGATAAAGGTGAGAGTAATCAATCCATGAGGACTTCAGAGGAGGCAAGGGCTTTGCTTCAGCCGTCTTCCCTGGCAAAGCTCCTTAGGAAATCAGAGACCATCCTACATTAGGAATAGCTGTGCTCTCATTTTCAGAAATCTAGGCACGTTAACATGCACAGTTAACCCCAATCACGTCCTAATATGGCCATTCATTCAACATTTACTGGACATATGCTACAGATACTTAGGACATGCCTGTGAACAGAACAAACATCCCTGCCCTTGTAGGGCTTGCACACTAATTGAAGGGCACTTCAAAATAATAGGAATCCTTGTGGTTGCCAGGGGGGTGGAGGGTGGGAAGGGATAGACTAGGATTTCAAAATTGTAGAATAGATAAACAAGATTATACCGTATAGTACAGGGAAATATACACAAAATGTTATGGTAGCTCACAGAGAAAAAGATGTGACAATGAGTGTGTATATGTCCATGTATGACTGAAAAATTGTGCTGAACACTGGAATTTGACACAACATTGTAAAATGATTATAAATCAATAAAAAAATGTTAAAAAAAATAACAGGAATCACTTGCTGAAACACAGTACTTACTGTGTCCGAGGTGTGCTACTCTGAGTCTCCAGTTTTCATAAAAACCTGTGGGGTACGTGTGTTACATTCCCCATTTCGACAGATGAAGAAATTGAGAAAGATATCAACCTGACCACGGCCGCACAGCTAGAAGGTATCGGCTGGGCTGGAACTCAGGTGGTCTCGATCCAGAGCTGACACTCCCTGAGCCATTTCCTATGCCCTGTGGTCGGGGGCAGGGCCAGCATACATGGTAGGCAGGTGACCAGGACAATGCTGCCAACACAGCTGGCAGGGCCAGGACCTTAGCCAATGTGGCTGGTGCAAGGCTAGCTGGGATAGAGCTGGCGAGATTCCCCTCAAGGTTGGGGCCAGGGGACTCGGGGCTGCCCACAACTGATGGAGTGGCCCGTGTAGTCAAAGGATTGAATTATATTGGGAATAACTATAGCCAAGGTTCTTACCATCAGAGAAGGAACTCATAAATATGGCAGGGGAAGGCTAACTAGATTAAAGCCTTGGTGCTAGAGTAGAATCAGAATGATTGGTGCAAACTCATGGCTCTCAATAAATACAAAGATACAGAAAGAGACAAAAATATGTATGTGTGTACATATAACATATATATGCAAAAACACACACATTATACATGTACATACATGTCATGTGTGGGTTTAAACATACATATATTGGCTAACTCTGTCCATGGGGGGGGTCTGCCCCCTGAGGGGATATAGAAGCAATGACAGTCAGAAGAAAATAAAACCAGCACACCTAGTGAGAGTGGAAAACCCTGGCAAACACCATCTTAACCAATCGATCAAAGCTAATGTCTCTGGTGACCGGACAAACTGACAGTGTTGACATGACACTCGGAGAAGCATCACTTCTAAACCTAATCATGGGGGAACATACAAATGTACTCTCAGATTGTGAAGGTCACAAAAGATAAGAAGAGCCAGAGGAACTGCTCCAGAGTGAAGGAAACTAAAGACTTAAAGAGTACACACTGGGCCTACCCAGATGACTGGAACAACAGACAAAACCGAGTGCCCGCACTGCAGCAGTGTTACTACCCTGATTCCAGTGGTGGTGTTATATGATTATGCAGCCAAGTGTCCTTGTTTTTAGAAATGCCCAGTGAAATATTAAGGGGGAAAAAGGGGGGGAAAAGCGTAGAGAAAATGTAAAAAGAGGAACAACGAAGCCAGCTAAAGAGCTAAGTCTAAACAATTATTTTTGATAAAACTGTTTAAAAAATGTTTTCAAAAACTCTTACTAACAAGAAATCTGTGAAATCCCTCACATATCCAGCAACCTAATACGATACCATCTGCTTCCTTTAAAAATCAACAGAAGTCACACAATTATCTCAACAGAAACAAAAAACGTGTTTGATGAAATCCAACATCCTTTCATGATAAAAAACATTTCATAAAATAGGAATAGAAGACAACTTCTTCAACCTGACAAAGGGGAACTGAAAAACCTACAGCTGACACTTTACTTAATGGAAAAGGACTAAATGCATCCCTCTAAGATCGGGAACGAGAAAAGGATGTTTCCTTCTACGCGATATTGCGTTAAACAAGGATCCACTGTACAGCACAGGGAACTATAATCAATACCTTGTAATGGTCTATAATAAAAAAATATGAAAAGGTATATATACACATACCCATATGTATACATGAATTGCTATGCTGTACACCAGAAATTAACACAACATTGTTCATCAACTATACTTCAATAAAAAAGTAAATTAAAAAATTAAAACAAAACAAAACATTGCATTAGAGGATCTAGCCAGAGCTATTGGACAAGAAACAAAAGGCATCAACACTGGAAAGGAAGAGGTAAAACCAACCCTATTCAGAGCTGACATGGTCTCATACACAGAAAATCCCAAAGAATTCACAAGACTACTGGAGATAACAAAGGAATTAGGGAAGCTGCAGGGCACAAGATCAAAACACAAGTCAGTCACATTTCGATACACCAGCAATGAACAATCTGCAAAGGAAACTGGAATGACAATTCTGTTTACAGTAACAACTGAAAGGATTAAATCCGTAGGAATAAATCTAACCAAGGAGGTAAAATATTGCTTAAAGAAATTAAAACCTGAAAAATTAGAATGACATCCTGTGTTCATGGACACGAAGACTCTACATTAGGATGCCAACACCACCCGATCCACATTCAATACAATCCCTATCAAAACTCTAACAGCCTTTTCCCCAGAAATGGAATAACTTATTCTCAAATTCATATGGAATTGTAAAGGGTCCCAAAAGGCCAAAACAATCTTAAAAAAGAATAAAGCTGGAAGACTCACACTTCCCAACTCTGAACTCATTACAAAGGTACAGTTATTAAAAGTGTGGTAC